GGGACTGTCTCGTGTAGGGCAGAGGAAATGCTCCGGGGAAAGTAGCGGGCCACGGCCGGCGAACCACTGGTCCTGGAAGAATCCCCCAAAAACCCACGGAAGGGGCAGCGTCCGTGTAGAAGCGGAGACCTGTAGGGGCAGAGAGACACACCGGAGAGGGCCATTGATGTTGCAGGCGCCCTTACGCTTAGAATCTTGGGTTGGAGAGTAGATAATTAGGCCAGTAGGATAGGACGGGAAAAGCCGTGTCTCGGACCGCATTGAAGGTTGAGTGAGCAATGGTGAAACGCTTATGCAGAGAAGCCACAGAAGGCGAGCAGAAGATGCTGCGAGGAGGGCAGACATGTACTTGGAAGATGAGCCGGAGTTCAGTGCCGCTCAGAGCCGCTGCAGATGGGCAGCATGATGGGGAGCCTGTGATCAGAAGAGTGAAGAATACAGGTATGGATGCCTTTGATTAGGAGTCCGATTGACGGCTCAGCGCAGCTACTTGGCCAGCTGCATCTGATAGAATCAGAAGATTCAGTAGAGAGATGAAGCACGACCGCCGAAGCGACCCTGGGAGCATAGGTGCGAGTCCGGCGCAGCGCGGCATACTCAGCCGGGCTGCATCCATTGAAGCAGGATAAGCTTCTGAGAGAGTGGGTTGCAGTAGCAGTAGCAGCAGCGGCAGCAGCAGTAGCCTCAGATAATAACAGCAAAAGTCCTGTATCAAGCCGCGGCAGCAGCAGTAGCAGCAGCAGCAGCAGCAGCAGCAGCGTCCTTAGAAAATAACAGTAATAATTCTGTATCAAAGCCACAGCAGTAGAATGTTGTTGTAGCTGTTCAGGGTTTCAGTAAAAGAGATGCGAAGTGAAGAGAGATGGCAAAGTAAATGAAGCAGCAGCAGCAGTAGTAGCAGCAGTAGCCGTATGAAGCAGCAGCAGTAGCAGTAGCAGTATGAAGCAGCAGCAGCAGCAGCAGTAGTAGCAGCAGTAGCCGTATGAAGCAGCAGCAGTAGCAGTAGCAGTATGAAGCAGCAGCAGCTGCAGCATCCGTCGATAATAGCAGCAATAATCCTGTATCAAAGCCAGAGCAGTAGAATATTGTTGTAGCTGTTTAGTGTTTCAGTAAAAGAGATGCAAAGTGAAGAGAGATGTCAAAGTACATGAAGCAGCAGCGCAGCAGTAGCAGCAGCAGTAACGGTAGCAGTATGAACACAATCCTGCCATCCCTGCTCCAGGACAAGCTCTCCCAGCTCAACGTGCCCGATTCCACCTGCAGGTGGATCACTGACTTCCTGACGGACAGGAAGCAGCGAGTGCGTCTGGGGAAGAATGTCTCGGACTCTCGGATTATAAATACAGGAGCCCCACAGGGCTGTGTTCTTTCTCCCCTGCTCTTCTCCCTGTACACCAACCACTGCACCTCCAGCCACGACTCCGTGAAGCTGATCAAGTTCGCGGACGACACCACCCTCATTGGACTCATCTCCAACAACGATGAGTCCGCCTACAGGAGGGAGGTGGACCGGCTGGTGTCCTGGTGCAGTGGTAACAACCTGGAGCTGAACGCCCAGAAGACAGTGGAGATGATTGTGGACTTCAGGAAGAGCACTGTCCCCCCGCCCCCACCCTCCGTGATGGACTCCCCCATCACCTCTGTGGAGTCCTTCCGTTTCCTGGGCACCACCATCACCCAGGACCTCAAGTGGGAGCCGACCATCAGCTCCCTCATCAAGAAGGCCCAGCAGAGGATGTACTTCCTGCGGCAGCTCAGGAAAGCCAAGCTGCCTGCACAGATGTTGGTGCAGTTCTACACGGCCATCATCGAGTCCATCCTCACCTCCTCCATCACCGTGTGGTTCGCTGGAGCCACAGTCAGGGACAAACAGAGACTACAGCGCATTGTGCGCTCTGCAGAGGAAGTGATCGGCCGCAGCCTTCCATCGCTGCAGGACCTGTACGTCGCCCGAGCTCGAGGCCGGGCTGGTCGTATCACAGCCGACCCCTCTCACCCTGCACATGGACTATTCCAACCACTCCCCTCAGGCAGGAGGCTGCGGTCCATCAGGACTAGAACCTCCCGCCACAAGAACAGTTTCTTCCCCTCTGCTGTTGGACTCTTGAACACTTCTTAACCTGTCCCCCCGCCCTTTATAAAGTCACTTTACTGCCCATCATACGTCACTTTACTTCACTGTACTGCTGTCACCTTACATTGTGTGCACCATGTGCACTTGTATATTGTAAATAGTAACTGTAACTCTATTTTAAATTTAAATTTATTCTTTAGAAGTGTTTTTTATTCTTATTTTTATTATCTCTTTTTGACTGTTGCACTGAGCCAAAGCAATTTCCAAGTCTGTGACCTCCCGTTACTTACGTTGGCAATAAAAATGATTCTGATTCTGATTCTGATGAAGCAGCAGAAGCAGCATTAGCAGTAGCAGCAGTAGCAGTATGAAGCAGCAGCGGTTGCAGCATCCGTAGATAATAACAGCAATAATCCTGTATCAAAGCCAGAGCAGTAGAATATTGTTGTAGCTGTTTAGTGTTTCAGTAAAAGAGATGCGAAGTGAAGAGAGATGTCAAAGTACATGAAGCAGCAGCAGCACGGCAGCAGATGCAGTATGAAGCAGCAGCGGCAGCAGTAGCAGCAGTAACGGTAGCAGCATGAAGCAGCAGCAGCAGCAGCGGTTGCAGCATCCGTAGATAATAACAGCAATAATCCTGTATCAAGCCACCACAGTAGAATATAGTTGAAGCTGTTTAGTGTTTCAGTAAAAGAGATGCGCAGTGAAGAGAGGTGTCAAAGTAAAGAAGCAGCAGCAGCACGGAAGCGGTAGCAGTATGAAGCAGCAGCGGCAGCAATAGCAGCAGTAGCGGCAGCAGAAGCAGCAAGCAGCAGCAGCACAATGCGATTCATACGAACAACAGACGTGTCACGCCAGCGTGCGCCGCTTGTCTCCGTGAGCCAGGTTACGTACGTGTCTGAAGAGCCGAGCCGTAGAGACAGGTGCAGCCTGGGAGCCTGCGGAGCGGCAGCGGCAGGAACAGCAGCAGCGGCACATGTGTAGTAGTAGGAGCAGCAGGAGCAGGCAGCCGGGACAGGCAGCAGCAGGAATAGGCAGCAGCGGGATCAGCATCAGTAGGAACGGCAGCAGGGACCGCAGCAGCGGCGGTCAGAGAACCATGCCCACGGTTGTTTAAGAGCCTGAGGAAATAAATCAACCCGAATCCGAAACATTCCCATGCGAGAAACAGATGTCCCCTGGAGCCATCTTGCTGCTTTGGTTATGGTGTAGAACGCATGAACGATCACTGTTCCATGCGTTCATTAGCTCCAGCTCCACTTCAAACCCATTGCATATTCACATTGGGCCCCTTTTCTTTCTGCTGCACTTTCGAAATGCAACAACTGCAGTTTAGTTACCCAGTTTAATACTAGTGACCTAGCTATTTAAATGCATGGCCCCTCCTTCCTCCTGCAGATAGACGAATTGAAATACATTCATTTAACAATAGTGACTTGCGAGTAATGAGATTGATGCTGTAAAGATGGCGCTGTGGCAAGAGCTCTGTGTGTGCCGTCTGGAGGCACGATGGGTAGTCTTTGCACCTTTTTTCCAACGTGGGTTTTACTGCAAGTGGCCAGAACAGAATCTGCTTAATGCACATAGCCTCCTCTTATACCCCTCAGACATTGGAGATTGATGCCAATTAAGATTCAATGTCCTCAGTTTAGCTCTAACACGTGTAAACCCGGAGCCTGCCGCCAAGCTCCCACGGGCGAAGACTGACGCTGCAGTCCAGTGCGTAGGGCAAAAACCAGCCACCTGCAGCTAGACTCCGGGATTAAACTGTGCGGTCAGCACAGCACACTCACTGTACTCCACATGCAGGAGACTTGGGAAAGCAACGGGGACCAACGCGGCACCGCAGTCTTTGAGGCAGGGACACCGCTACGGCACCGCCGGAACCGTCTTGCGCAGCTGGAAGCAGACCACGCGAAACGAGCAGCACGGAACCGCGGAGGGGCCCCGCGGAGCAGCCCGCAGAAGAGCCCGCAGAGGAGGAGAGCAGTGGGGATATGCGAACCACAGCATGGTGCAGGGACGTGGAAGAGGAGCAGACCATGAGCAGCCAGACTGAGGACAGCAGGGCCACGCGCACGAGCAACACGTAAGCAGAAGCGACCCCTCCAGAACAACGCATGCATTGCGAACAGGTGCGTGTTTAGCGACATGCACCTTGCAGGCTTCAGAAGTTTGCAGACTTCAGAAGACCGGGAAGTGGGCGTCTCCGGCTTTTAACTTGCTGTCCTGGTGGTTATTGGTTGACTGGGTGTGGGCGTTGCTGGTATTGATGAGTCGAGGAAGAGCAGCCTGTGGCCTGGCAGCAGCAGCCGGGTCTACCACGGTGACTTTCGCGAAGCTCCCTTCTTAGTCAATAACCAAAAGCCCAACTCTAAACTATGTTATAAACTGAAAAGTTTCACTCTGTTTTGGCCCCATTCCTCCCATGCAGTTCTTTTCAATTGAGCATAGGTGTCAAAGTCAGGCGGGGGCCAGATTCGGCCCGCGAAGACATTATCTTGGGCCCCCGGGGATGATCTTGGATTAGTATTAAAACTTTACAATAATAATAGATTATGTGTTAATGTTAAGGAATTTGTTTTCTCTTTGAAGGAAGTTGTTTCAAATAACTGTGTTTGGGGTTGGTCAAATTCTATTCAATAACCTTTTATGTGTTTTGATAAACATTGAACCGTCCCGGTCCTCGGCTTGTAGAAAATGAGTTGTTTTGGCCCTTGATGTATTTGACTGTGACTTCATGCTATCGAGAACGATCAATGTGCAGGGCCTGTTGCGGCTGGGCAATACGGACTTTCAACTCCTCCAAAGCTTTTCTATGGGGTTGAGATCTGAAGATTGGATTGCATTTTGTCCAACTGTACCTGTTGAAAAAAAATAATTTTCTTTTTTCTATACAGGCTTTCTAAGTAGTCCAGCAAGTACTTCACTCTGCTCTCTTGTTTCCACGCAGAGCTTGGTGATTCAAATTCCACCGGGGAAACCTCTTACGATGGGACACTGGATGGGAACACGGACCAGCTCTGACCTTGGGAAGTGAAAAGATGTCTTGTCATGGGAACTGTTAATCTACTGTTCCATCAGAGCGTGGCCTGGCTGGTGAGTTGCACTCCGGACACGCGCCTATATGCATAATACTGCACGGTCATGTTCAGTCCCCATGTTAAGGTTATCACTTCTTTCCGACAGCCTCACTGTCAATTCCCATGAGACTTTCTGCCGGAACCGTCTTCACTTAGTATTCAGTTATGTCATACAAGAGTGTAGTAAAACTGTATCAGGATTCTTGATTTGAAAAACTGTGTCTAATTAACAACAGTAGCGTTTATTGGCATGGACTTTTTCTTGCTACATCCACCCGCTGGAATATCTCCACCCGTCCAGAGCAAGAGCTGTTCCCCCCATTGGCCAAACGCACCTGCCCCTCACCCCCAGTACTGTTAGATGTTGGTGTGGTAAAATTTGTGGTGGATGGACGGTAAGTTGTATACGTATGAGTTGGATAACGGGTAGATGTATAATGAGTAGTAGTAGTTGGTACATTAGTAGTTTTTGGATATGCAGTAGTTCTTGTTGGATATGCAGTAGTTCTTGTTGGATATGCAGCAGTAGTAGTTGGATAATCATTAGTAGTTGTTGGATATGCAGTAGTAGAAGCTGCTGGATAAGGAGTGGTTGTTTCTTCAGTAGTAGTAACTTGGTCGAAGGTGGTTATTTCCGCAGTAGTTTCTGGTGCAGTTGTGCTGGAACTATTTGTAACTTCTGTTGAAAACCATTAACAAGTAAACACAAGTCAGTTTTGTTTGCATTTGTTAGAGTTAAAGTTGAAAAACGGAAACTGTACCTGCACAATAAGCCAAGTAACACGAGTTTGGTCTCACAAGTTTGTAGACATAATAATCTCCGTAGCAACGCTTGATGTGAATTTTGGGACTTTTAAAGCTGCAGCATGAGGAATATGAACCACAAACATCTCGTCTCTCGATGTACCTGGACTGTGTGGGATGGGGTTCTGTTATGAACATAGGTGCATGGGTACCACACATATTCTTCTGCACACAATGCTCTGGTATTTGCGCGTCAGAACTATACAAAAACAGTCGATACCAGCCCTGCCAATTTAAATACTGGTCACATTTGGCTAGTCCTGTCAAACTTTTGTCAGCTGCACGCCAGGGGTCATCCAGAGCAGTGTAATGCTCGCAGGGGTCAGCACAGCGGGCCGTTCCATTGTTGGTAATGCAGTCCATGCCGTGTGGACATGTAGTGTTACCACACATAAACTGCACAGCGTTCACAAAGGGACTTGCTCCTGTGCGCAGAGCAGGATTTACAGAACATTCAAAGGAGCCCTGTGTGTTTCTGCAGATCTGAGATGCAGCACAGGGGGACGGCTTGAGAGAGCACTCGTCTACATCCACACAGCCCTCTTTAGGGGACCATTTGTAACCTGCGCTACAGCAAGAGGAGTCACCCCCACATTCTTTCACTTCGTAACAGTTGACGCCGTCGCCAACAAATCCATCTTTGCACTGGCAGGAGACGGTGGTGGTGGGTAACGTTTCTCTTCTCTCCTCACGCCTCAGGCAGGTGGCTTCAGGGTGACACGCCTCACAGCTGGTCACAGGGACACCTGCGGGAAATCAACTCTGTTGAAGCGACAGAAAAGCTTAACATAATAGTGGTATAAAAGTGGTATATTGATTGAGTCTACAACTCACGATATTTACAAATTTACAATGGTATACGGTATCATTTTAAGTCAAGTTTTTTGTATCATGTATCATTAGACTTGATCATTTTCAATTGTTTTCAAATAATAATAACTTACCTATACATATTCTTTCATTTTTGGTGGTTTTAAGATTAGATAATGATAATATTAATAATATAATAATCTTATAATAATGCTCCATTAGTTGCAATTTTGACAAATACGATAAAAGGAAAAGGAAAAATTATCCAATACCGAAAATGCTACGGAATGTTTAGGATGTCCAAATATAGACGGAAGAAGTCATAAAGAACATATGATGTGAACATATGATGGAAATATTAGTAGTAATATTTACCTGAAGCAAATCCTGTTCCAATCTGTAAAAGCAAACACAAAAACAACACTCCAAACTTCCCCATCGTTCTAAAGTAATTCAGTGATAACTTTCCTGAAAAGAAGAAGAAAATATAATTAATAAAGTAATAGAGTTTTACAAATCATGAAGTTGTCACAAATGCAGCTGACACTTACTTTACGGCTTCTCAGATCTCTGTCTGTCACACTGAAGGATCTGGCTATTTATAAGGCATCGGTGTTGTTATCAGGGCTGGTCGTTGGGAAACACAAAGGCATGTTTCATAAAAGTGATTAATCTGACACTACTCAAGTTAATTATTAAAGAGCAAAACTTAACTGGAGCACTCTTGACGTCCAAGAACGTCCAAAGTGTATTAAAGCAAGTTTCCAACCTCCTTGCGCAATCAATCTCTTGAATATAGATTGATAAAACATCTCTTAACCTTGAATACAAGTAGACTTTAATTTGAATAATAAAATTTGTCTTTTATGGTGCCCAGGGAAATGATTGATAGTTTCTTTCATCGTACACTTTACAGCAGTGACCGTAAGTACTTGTTTGCTGATTTCAAGGGTTCAATTGCAGTATTGAGAAAGTTACAGAAGGAAGTAAAAATGTGTTCCAGTAAACTCTTGATAAAATCTGATAAAAGGCCATGTGCTCAAATGAGGAGATAAAAACACAATTTGCAGACGCTGGGGAATCAATGTGGTATAAACTGATTAACACCATACAATAATCATTAAAGCAAAGCACTCTTTACCAAAAGGCTTCTCAGTTTTGACTCTCTAAATGCAAGACTTCCCAAACATATTTAATTATTTTGATCATGGAAAATGCACAATATACACTCAAATGTTCAAGTTAATCAGTTAATATCACATTAATTTCATGTATGAATGAACCAATGGGATGTGTTTTGCCCCTTCACCTCCTTCCTGTTTCTCGGAAGTGCATCTGAGTTATCTGATTTTCTAAAACTTAAAATGACTGAACAGAAAAGGCCAATTTCACGTTTGCCGCCCACTCTCCCTGTTGTGAAAATGCTTGATGTTTGGTTTGGTGGAGAGGGAGGAGAGGGGGGAGTGGTTTCCAGTTGGTGCTACGGCTAAGCTAACAAAATCACTTACTGCACCTTTAAAGTGGTTCTCACCCCCGCTCCTCGGAGCTTACGTTACTCACATTTCCTGTTCAAATCTTCCTCTAAATGGGCGTAGCCTGGAGGACTAAAGGGGGCGTGAACGAGACTGGGCCGTTTATATTACTCTGGGCGGGGGGCTGCTGGCGTCAGGTCCAACTTGCAGACGTCAGGTCCAACTTCTGTGCCAGTGTTGGCGCCAGATTCAAAATTCAAATGTAGTAATACAGGTCGCCAGCAGATGGCGCCTCAGACGGTTTTAGGCAGAAAGTCTAACTTTCAACTAATTTGCACCAAAGTGACAAGATTATGACCAGGATATGTACACAACACTATTGGACACTCATTTATACCGTTTATCAGCAAAAAAATGTGGATTTGAGGGTGAGTTGTCCTTTAAGTAAAATCATCGAGCAACAGTCTCTAAAATGCTGCAACGACAAGAGCAACCCGGTGAAGGAGGTTGCCTTGAGCTTACATCTTTTATAATTGAGACACCGTGTATTGTTTGTGTTCAACCCTATAGTTTTCACTAAATATTTCATACTCTCTGGTCTGTGCCGAGACCTCTGCAGCACAATAGCAGCCAGCCCTGAGTCAAAACATGGACTCAACTTTTTCTACGTCAGCAGCGTCCAATCAGATCTGGGGTGCAGCATCATCTTCTCCCAGTCATGTTTTATTAATCCATGCCTCCCTAAACTAGGCCACGCACACGGAGCGCACTGCACCCACTTGTCCTTTGTACGGATAGCATTACCTTTTAGAGCTTTCACTTTCGCAGGTCAAATAAGAAAGAGCTTGTAAAGTTTTAACTTCAACTACAAATGCTACCAATAAACGTAAGCCAGTGTATGTACTTAGACAAGGGCTTTCATATAAGTTACAGACGATTTGATCACAGCCCTAAACCATTTGTAGAATCCAATGGAAAGCCACAATATTATGAGCATGAACAATATTGGATGAGTTGAATCCTCTCACCAGACCAATTAAATCATACTGAACCAAATCTGAATGGAACTAGGAAAACAAGCTAACCCAAAGGTCAAAAGTGTCACTACAACTTCAAATGTCCCACATTATGTATAGTGGAAGCAAAATGATTCATGATTATGTTATTGTGAAAGGCAAAGTGGGGCTTGCACCAGTATTCCATCACACAACCTGAGTTCACAACAGCTGCAACTCTTTTGGGGTATGGCTCGGAAAGCTTGACACATCTAGAGACTGATAGTTGAGCATTTTATACGAGGGTTTGCTTGTCCAATCACGGGTACAGTTAAGCGATCTGTGCAGTGCAGAATCTGACTGAGGAAGTGGAAACACACTATGAAACTCTAAAGCAAATTAACACTCCTCTTGGCCTAGCGCTAAGTTCCACATGCGAGTCAATCCTGCGGGGGTGACTTTTGTTTAACCAGGTCTGTTTTGCTAAAGTGGATGTTTAAACTGTTGCCATTTTGTTCTACCACAGATCCGGCATCGTCGCAAAACTCTCACCACAACAGCAGCTCAAGCCTCGTGTCCTCAATGCACCAGTTGTGCTGCTTGGCAGCCTGTGGCTGGGAGCATTTGTAATTCGGTGAAATAGTTTGAATGGCAAGGATAGGCAATTATGTGTTCATAGGTTTCTACTATCATAAACATGTGTATACATGTTTATGAAGTCCTTATGTTTTATTGTCCTGATATCAAGTAAACATCAACCCCTTTTCTTCCAAGATTGTCTTGTTTGTTGCTCCGTCCACTTTCCCGAAAACTGTCACACTCATCCCTGTGATGGCAGAGGAAATACTGATTATCTGAGACATACTGAGATTAGATTACGCTCAGGTAGGTTGACATTTGACCAGTTCTCAGGAGTCTACTAAAGGAAAGTGTTTGCACTCAGAGAGGTCATTCTGCTTTCACTTCACAGTTGTCTGTTACTTTGTTGTTGTCTTTCAGGAAAAAAAATAAAAATAAATCCCACATCAAATGTTTATGCATGTGGTCTTAAAGATGAAAAAAATAAAGTTGTGTTGTCACTTTTGTAACCCACAGTGCAAGAAAAGTCATTGCTTTATTGTAAAACACTCTGGCTATCATCTTTGCCCTTTCTCCTTTATAACTGTCAGCGAGCCACACTTGGTCTAGACTCCGGCCCACACAAGGCGACAAAGCCCTAGAGTCCCCAGAGCACTGCCATCTGTGACTGCTCTGTGTTGTATATACGCTCGCTCCATCGCACAATGAAATGAAGAAAAGTGTTCCCCGACTCTGGCAGAGATGTACGACTCGCCGGAGTGCGCCGTCACCCAAACGAGCACCATTTTAATTAAAGGTCTAATGATATGCCTTTAAATGAGAAGCTACTTATCATCAGACATAATCACTTGGCAGTAGTTAACGCGGCAGAATTGCGACCATCTGCTCTCCAAAGAACACATTGTTGTCATTCTTTATCGTGCACAGTTCATGTACAGTATTTAGAGTGGGAGACCTCATTACAGGCCGCTCTCTGGTTACACGTCGTGGTGTAATTGTGCGCATGTGTGCTCAAAAATGTGTCATGTCAACATAAAAAGTGGTGTGGCAATATTAAGTTATTGTATGGAACACTGTTTTCTGTTGTTTATACATGGTGTTATGTTTTTAATGTGCCTGTGCTTGACCCAAGTAAACTCTTGAAAGATTTAGAGCAGGGGTGTTAAACTCATCTTGGTTGGGGGTCAGATCAAAAGTATAGGAACAGATGATTAATTATTAGTAGTTGTTTATTTAGTGGAAAGTTTTTTTGAAGCTCTTATTATTATTTTTTGTACATTTTACATTACATTATTAAGGTAAATTTGAAAATGAATTAATTTTATATTATTGTGCATATTTTTGGTTATTTTCCGATAGATTTTTCGGAACAAAATGCACTCCGATACTGTTTGTTTGGATTGACTCAAAACTGAATGGAAGATATTGAAGGTGTTATTCATGTATTTAACTAATTACTATGTGACTGTTCTTCCTGAGGTCTATATACGCCATATCACACAAATTAATGTATAATGGACACAAATTAATGTACTGAATAATAATAATATCTTTACATTGAAGTACAGCATGTAATGGAACCTCTTTCCATCAATGCTGCAAGTCAATCACAATCATGGAAAATCAGGGACCACAAAAAATAAATTCTCTCATTTGTTCTAGTGTGATTAAGAGTATTGTGTCTTTATCACAAACAGAACATTTTAGTTTGTTTATGTAAGATCTTTTTGTATGATTGTTGTAAATAACAAACACTAATTCTGTATCGAAAGTTCTGCCTCTACCAGAAAATATATGAAAGAAAAAAATAAGAACACTTACCCTCAGATAAAACACTTTGGAGAGAGACATACATGTTTACCAAAATAGCAAAGCCGGAGCAAAAAAAATCATTAAATGCCCGACGCCAATTATTGAATTAGTGTCAGGTTTTTTATGAACACCTTACATAGACTACATGTTCTTGGACTAGAGTTGTGGGATAGGCCTCTACAAGAACACTGTGGCAATATTCTTCAAATCTATACCATCAAACTTGCAAAATGCCTCTAAAACAAAACGGAACTGAACCAATAAGGCTAATCATCCACTCCACATTGTGTATTTACTTATTTAGTTAAGTTCGACTCACCCATGTCCAGTAATTACATTCATTCGTCCATCTGGCTACTGTTTAGATCTGTGTGATTATTTTCCAGTTTTCTGCTTCAAATAAAAAAACACTTATGATCCGTGACAAACGCCCTTTGAGCTGGACTCGCCAATCTCCGTCTGTGTGACCCACTGAACTGCTGCAGATACGATCAGGACTTTGGGGACCACATGTGAAACTGGTGGCAGTCGAGTTCCGATGTATTGTTCCCCGGAGAGCAGCAGGAGGAGGAAGTGTAGTT